ATGTGATTATCGGCCAGGCTGGCACAATTAACTAACTCAACATTGAACATAAAATAAAATAAAAAATGATCTGCTAACTTCATCTAGTTCACAATAAAAAGGTTGTTTGTTTTTGAAATAGAGAGATAGGGAACAGTGGAGGGTTAATGTTGCAATGGTAAGATGAACTGATAAAGTGTAACAGATAAAAGTCCAAATCAGTAGCACCTCTAAAACACAGTGAGATGTTGGCTTTTATTCTGAGCTGGGAAACTGCTGGAAGAGCTAAAGAGAAAAGTTACATAACATGGAATATTTTAGAAAGGTAGCTTAGCTGCTGTGAAAAGAGTGTATTATGGGGGATCATGTCTCAAAGAGTCCTGCTGGTACCATGAGATAAGTGTTGGGCAGGTAACCACAAGGTCAGAGGTTCACATCCATCAGTCATTTCTAGCGAGAAAAATGTGGCTATCTGCTCCCACAAAGACGTACAGTTTCAGAAACACTATATAGAGTCACTATGAATCAATTTGGTGGCAGCAGGTTTTGATTTTTTTGTTTCACTCCATGTCTACTATGTAGTTATCATAAAGACTGATTTAATTGAGTTTTATCTGACGACCTGGAATAACATTTCCATAAGCATTTTAAAGACAATTTTCCTCAAGGAAAAGTAATAAGGAGAAAAATATGCATCAAACTGAACCTGAAAAACAATTTGTGTAATGGAAAAATGGACCACACAAATATTAGTATCCACAACCCTGAGATCTGAAGAACTAGATGGTACCTGGCTAATACAACTAATTGCTCAGAAATAATGTGAAAAGGATCATGCTCGAAGGTCCCAGATATAATGAGAGAAAATGGGGGACAGAGCTTAGAAACATATACACGAGACCAGGGTTAGAAGTCAAATAGGAATTGATGGAATGAACTCAATTCCTTGCTAGAATAATCAACAATCTGAGATCAAAAGGGAACCTTTTCCCCAAAGAGAATTTATTTTATCTCAGTAAACCTTGCCTAATTTAAAATAAAAAGGGTTTTATGATTTTTGTTTTAAAAGGTCCCTGGATGCATAGAGGATCTATAGCACTGTAGAAGAAATCAAGTTCCCTAAATTTAATGACCAATCTAACTCCGTGGCCAATGGGATTTCTCCAAATGGAACATATAAATTAAAAGCAAAATCCATGAACACCTCAAGAGAGAAATAAGCAGCAAAGCCATCAGGAATGGCTTCAAAATGTTTGTGGAAAAATTCCATTATCTTTATTTCCTACTTTTCCATGAACTTTCTGAAGCCCCTCAGGTGTGTGTTTCTGTGTGCTACCTCCTACTACAGAAGACAAATAAGAACAGAGAATATTAATATTGAAGAATGATGCTGCATTGTTAACATGGGTTAGCTTTTAGGCAGCAGATTTAGGCAGCAGGAAACCCTATGTGGGACTAGCAAGTAGACCAAAGGCAAAACAAAAAATAAAAATCAGGTAAACAATTACACTTATGATATATGAACTAAGTAAAATTACGTATTTGTTTGAGCCTATTAAAAAAACTAAATGAAAATTAAATCTATAAAATGCTGAGGACACAACACTTGAAAACTTCCACTTTCATCTTAATCTCCATCTGATGTTTCATAGTCTGATCTTCAGTTCTTTTTCTCTACTTAGATCAAACAAACAAACTGTCCTCCAGTAAAACTAAGTGTTGATTATAGGTAGTATGTCTCATCTCACAACACACAGGTTCGTGCCTATCACTTGTGCTTCTGGGTGGATGCTTTGGAACTCCAGCTGCCTGTTTTCCTCTGACGGTGGGCACTGACATCACACGCAATATATGAAGTAGAAGGATAACAAAGGAAGACTATTACTATTACTGACTTACCAACTCTATAAACTTGACCATTTAAAGGACAAAACTAAAATACTTTTTGTTCAAATAAAGTTACCATGATTCCAGAAGAAAAGGAAAAAAAGAAAAAATCCTAACTTTTATTGAAAGGATCTAGCTGCAAGGAGAAGAAGAGTTAAATTTTCACATACTTTCCAAGCACGAACACATTTTATTTGACAAAATGAGCAGCAAAAATTTCAGTCAGCATAAATTATTGAAATGCAAGCTAAAACATGTCGACGTGACTTAAATTTTAATTGTGTATCTTTAGATGGTTTTTGAAGTTGTCTGAAGAAAATTATTTATTTCTAAGTGAAAAATGTTTTCTATTAGAATAGACTGCAAAGTATCATGTTTTAAAAGTCCTCTTTGAGCTTCAATAGTATAAATACAACATTAAGCATCCCACAAGGGACACCATGCAGCGTGTCTGCCTGTAGGACCAGGTGGCTGCATTGCTGCGCTCCAACCTAACCCTAACTGTGAGGAGCCCAGGCCCGGGCAGTGTTCCCTTCTGTTGGACTCAGTCCCTTCAGTCGGAATGGACTCCACACCTAACAGCAACATATCACTGATAAGATTTTCAGCAACAGAAAGCCTTTATGCTTAGGCATGCTGTTTCTATTTTGATATGAAAGATAAGCAAGTAACGTGTTAAAACAGCGGTTCTCAACCTGTGGGTTGCAATACTGTTGGGGATCAAATAACCCTTTCACAGGAGTCACCCGATTCCTAACAGTAGTAAAATGACAGTTATGAAATAGCTACAAAAATAATTTTATGGTTGGGGGGATCACCACACATGAGGAACTGTATTAAAGGGTTGCGGCATTAGGAGGGTTGGGAACCACTGCGATAAAGAGAAAAGACCCCCAAAAAGTCAATGCTTTGAACTCATTAGAGCTCTAAAGGGAAATAAGCAAATAACACTGTACAACCACACAGTTCACCAAGAGAAATCTAGGCTTAAGGAAACAGGTGATGGAAACTGGAACGAAGCCAAGGCAAACTGTTCAAAGTAAAGTACGCATTTTCAGAGAAAATTCAGAAAATATTCTATAGAAACATGTTTCCGCATAGATGCAGGATAAAAACAAGTTAAGTCTTTAAAAGTATGCTGGGGGTATTATTAGAAATTTCTAAAGGTAAAATGGCCAAAATTGGTTAATTCAATTCTTCTAGAATAGGAATACCCACATAAGATGCAGCTTACCTTTTCAGATTTACCATCGCCCAGGGAATCCCAGTAGGGGTGTTAAAGGCAGGAAGAAGTTTCTCAGCCAACTGCACTGCTTTGATCTTGAAAATCTAGATAAAAACATGAATACTCACAATTATAGTCATCAATAAGCATTTGCTGATGTCTAGTAGATGCATATATAATACAATGGGGAAAAAAGAAAAAAAAATGAACTCTTGTTACCACAGAGCATAGAGTAATCCGTATTTCTATATTGGATACTGAGTAAAACTATTCAAGGTATGCAACTACAATTTAATTAAAAATGAAGAACATAGTTTGGTGTTGACATTATCATTGTTTTCATCTGGAAAGAAACCAAAGAGGAAACATTAGCCTATAAAATTTTCAGCCACGGGATGCAAAATTTGGTTCAATTATTAAAAAGAAAGAGATGTACCCTAACTTACATAAATGCTCTTGATTATAACTATGTACATATACAACTATTTTCCTTCAAGATTTAGTATTATAAAAAGGAAAGAACACATGAATGTTCACTTTCCAAGGTCATGGTAAATGTTATGAATGCTTTGCCTCTCTGTCCCTCATTTGTTGCTTTATTGGTAGCCCAAATAGGAATGCTCAAGACTCAGGCTTCCGAACAGATCTTTTAAATCACTGTTCTCAAGATATATATATAGAATTTCTAGTATGGTCTTAGCATTTTTCCATAGAGGTCTGTGCATGCCACTTGGAAGACCATTGATTCAGAGACTCCACACTAAAATTGGATCATAATGTTCAATTACATCTGTGATAGGTTTTATGTCACCTGTCTGGGCCAAGATTCTTTTATGATATGGTCTAAGGCAATGTGGTCAACTCTATAATGGATCTTCTGTGAAAAAGCTCCCCAAGCTGAGTACCATCCTCAATTATGTCAAGCTCTGACACGAGAGGTTTCATTCGAGATGTGGCCTACTCTTATAACACAGAGCGACACTGTGCAGAAGCTATCTCACTGCTGCTGGATGTAGATCCTACATCACTGACTCATTAGAGTGCCTGCTAATCCCAGGAGCCATCAGAGGGCTGCTGACCTTGGATTCATTCAGGTCTGCATCCACCACCAGCCTGTGGTCTTCCTGCTTCATCTTCATCAGCTCCTGCAGCCACAGGAGTCTGGAGAAGTCCCTGGCTGTCATCAGACCTATAGACTTGAACTGAACTAGATTTACCCTCTTGTACAACTGTGTGAACCATTTCTTGATGTAAATCTCTTTCTATACACATACTTATACAAAAGTCGCTGCTTTTGCTTCTTTACAAAACCTAGTTTAACATACTTCAAGCTGATTCCCTCTCAAACTGACCCCAAGGTGGTTATCTAAGGTTCCCACTCACCTTAAAAAAAATTAATTCAATAATTTTTATGAGGGAGCCCTGGTGTAGTGGTTATGCACTGGGCTGCAATCCGTACACTCAGCAGTTCAAAGTCACCATTAGCTCTGAAGGAGAAAGACTGGGCTTTCAACTCACGTAAACAGCTACAGACGGGTTGCTATGAGTCAGCACTGACTCTATGGCAGTGAGTTTGAGATTTAATTTTTAGTAAAACATTAGTTTTCAAATTATAAGTAGTTGAACAGAACAAATGTTTGGGTTATGAAAAATGTTAAAAGAGTATACCAACATCATTTTGGGTAGAAAATATTAAAAGGATATGTGCGATTTGATGGAAAAACAAAAACACTAAGCTCCCTAAATAGAACAAGAACCACTTAAAACTTTTAATCAGGTATACTTGTGCATCCACGAGCCTGTGGTCTACCTGCTTGTGTGTGTCAACTCTGGCAGCTATGGGAGTCAGGAGAAGCCTTCACCTTTTTCTGACTCACGGGCTTAAGCCTGACTGAACTTACCCGCTTCTACAACTATGTGGGCATTAAGACAATGGATTATACAGAGCAGTTGAAGTAAGAGCAGAAGAAGGGAGGATTAAAAAGGGAGGCAAGCCCACCCAAGTAAGCAAAATTTCACATTTAATTTTGGTTTTGAGGAGTTGCTTGCTCAGGCTTAACAAACTTGTACTGTTTCTAATCTACAGAAAGATCTAGAGCTTGACTTTAGAAACTGTATATACTCAAGTATAAGCCGAGGTTTTCAGCACATTTTTAATGCAGTTTCTGTGGTAAAAGTAGGTGCCTCTGTGATATTCGGGTCAGCTTCTACTCGAGTATGTACGGTACTTATTTCACCTTTCAAGACCTACTGAACTCAGTAGCTGTAGCGATACTGCCTTGTGGCTAGGGACCCCAGCATTGGCCTCCCATAATTATAATAATCTTAACTCCTCTCATGAAAGATGAGTGAGCAATAATCAAAGCACTGCGAATGCTCGAAACACTGTTAGGGCAGTAAGAGTCATTTCCTCCTCCCTACCTTTAACTACCTGGGTGAGAGTACTCATTACAGGAGTGCAGGGAGTCGCTTCAAATTCCTTTCCAAGAAAGCCATTTTGTCATTAGCCCAACATGGAGACTATAAGAAAGTTTCAAGGATCCAAGGTTGCAGTCTTATAAATGTTAGTAGGAGACACAAGACTACAGACATAACACATAGTTAAAAACCAAAAATGCAGTAAGCCTGGTTTTGTCAATGACATTTCTTTACCAGAAACCTTTATTACTTCATATACTTTCAAGCTATTAGAGTGTCCTCTCATTTCAACCTGAAAAACTCCTGTTAGCATTTCTAGCAAAGCAGGTCTACTGGTAACATATGTCCTCAGCTTTTGAATGTCAGAGAATATCTTCATGTGTTAGTTCTGGTAGACTAGAGAGACAAATCCATTGACACTCCTTTATGTGTAATAGAGAGATTTATATCAAATAGTAATTGTATATCAAGAAAACATCCCAGCCCAATCCAGATCAAATTCATAAATCCCATATTAACCCTTAAGTCCAATACTAGTCCATAGATACCTCTTCAGACTCATGCAGCCACATGTAATGATATCGAATGCAGGAAGATCACAAGCCAGTAGTACAAAATAGATTGTGGATCTAATTGTGGTGGAAGAATCCCAGCACTGGAACAGGCCTCCAGGTGGCTCCTCCAGCTCCTGGAGTGTACCTTCTCACCAGGAAGGTGAAGCACAGATTGTGGCCCTCCTCCAGGCATAAAGAGGAAGTTCCCAGAATCCTCATGAGAGGGCCACATCCCCAAAAAGCCATTAATCAGGCTGTTACCTGATTGATAGGCTAAACTCCACCCCTTCACTCTTAATATCCTCAAGTTGACACCAGATTATGTAACTACCACACTTCATTTGACTCTAATTTTTGAAAGAGGATTTTGCAAGATACTGAATTCTTAGTAGATTTATTTTTGGTGTTTCAGTATTTTAAATATTTTGCCTTAATGACTTCAACCTCCATGGTTTCAAAAAGTTAAATCAGCAATTATCCTTATTGAGTATCCCTCGTATGTGACACCAGGGGAAAGAGGAAGCTGTCTGCTCCCATAAAGAGCTGAAGTCACAAAAACCCAAAGGGGCAGTTCTTCTCTGTCCTATGGGGTCTTTTAAGTTAGAATGGACTCTAAGGGTGTGAGTTTGCCTACATGACAATTTGTTTCTTGCTGCTCCTTACATACCTCCTTTTGTCTTTTTAAGTTTGATTATAATGTGTCTCAGTGTGCATAGTTTTGTGTTTATCCTATTTGGAATTTGCTGAACAATTCAGGAAGTGGCAGTCATTTATCCTTAAAAGTTCTTTCTGCTCTTTTGCCTCTTTCTTGTTAACAAAAAAACAAGCCAACTGACATCAAGTCAATTCTACCCCCCTAGGCTCCCTTACACCAGTAATATGACAGTATACCTGCTGCACAGAGATTATAAGGAAGGAGAAGGAGTAAAACTGTCTTTACTACCGACAACACGGTTGCATATAGAAAACTCTAAATACTTTACGAACTTTACTTGAGCTAGCAAAATAGTTCAGCACAGCAGGCTGTTTTGCAGTTTAAAGTCACCAGCAGTTCCACAGAAAAAGTATGTGACACTCAGCTTCCATGAAGATTCCAGCCTTACGTAAGAACCTGAAGGACAGTTCTACTCGAGCCTAAATGGTAGCTATGCGTCTAAACTGAGTTGACAGCAAAGGGGCTTGAGTTACATAAAGTTGTTTTTAAGGAGTCTTGGTGGAGCAGTGAGTTACCCAGGGGACTGCTAACAACAAGGTCAGTAGTTCAATTCTGCCTGGAACTCCATGAGAGAAAGACTGAAGCTTTCTACTCCGGTAAAGATTTAGTCTCGGAAACTCAAGGGGGCAGTTCTACTCTGTTAATAGGGTTGCTGGGAGTTGGAATTTACTTGATAGCAATAAGTTTGGGTTTTGATAATGGTGGTGGTACTGTTTTTAATGTTGTTGTGCTGTTGAGTCCATTCTGATTTGTGGTGAACCTACTGAACTATCCCATAGGGTTTCCAAAGCTGTTATCCAAACAGAAGCAGACTGCCACATTTTTTCCCCCACTGAATAGTTGATGGGTTCAAATATTTGACCTTTCACCTAAGCATTTAACAACTAAGCTAACGGGGCCTCATGAACTAGCAATATGAGGTCTTTTTGTTTGTTTTATTGCAATGACTAGAACCTTCAATGCAATAGTAAATGTAAATGGTGAACGTGGACTTTATTCTGATCCTTCGGAGGAGACGTTCATATTTTAATCATTAAGAATGGTGCGCTAGCTACTAGTCTGTTGTCAACTTGAGAGTGAAGGGGTGAAGTTTAGCCTGTCAATCAGGTCACAGCTTAATGACCTCGTTTGGAGCTGCTAAAGAGATAAATATCTCACTGGAGGTGGGACACACACTCACTCCCTCTGAGGCATTCCTGCTGACAAGACACATGGAGCTACAGTAGAGCCCTGGAGCTAGAGGAGCCACATAGAGACCCACGCCAGCATTGAGATGTTTCCACTGCCACTGGATTCACAAGACTTTTCACCCACTGGCCCGTGATTTTCCTGCATTCGACTTCATTGCATGTGTTGCGTGAGTCTGAAGAGAAATTTATAGATTGGTATCAGACATATGGGCTAATATCGGACTTAT